AAAATGATAATGCTGTATTAAAAATGCAAGGGGTTGTTGCATGGTGCTGTTATTCATCTGGATTGGTGGTGTTTGTACAACCCCTCCTCCCCTCCCTCCTCTCCCCTTTTATAATAAACCTAAGCCTGCAATTCTGGTGTCATTCTTTTATCCATAAATTTCAGTTGATTGGAAGCAAGAGCAAGGTGGCCATAGGGCTGCACCTCTCATTTGCATTGACCTTACACTTGTGCTGTGCTTGCTCTCCTTGCCTGAAAATCACAAAAAAAAAATGGATAAATAAGAAATTAACACCTGTTTCAGACTGAATAAGCCTCTGCCTAGAAGCCTTGCAAAGAGATTAACACCCCACACCCATAAATTATTTAGAAAAAAAACCGAACTTATTCAGCATTAAATTCTCAACAATAAACTTTACTCACCAAAATCAGAGTTTATGACAAAACTGGTTTGGAAATTTGATCTCATTAAACTGTGTTTAATGTATCAGGTTTGATTTATTTTTTGTTTATTTGTCATTGACTGTGCACCAGCTGTTTTGTAATGTTTGATTTTTTACATAAATGTAAACTGTATGGTATTTATTTTGTTTAGCGAACTTCTACGTCAGAACACAGGACTTACAGTTCCAATCCTTGATGCTTTGTCTAACCTCAACCTGCGCTCGGATCTCCTGGCTGAGGTAAATATTTACATCTGTATTTCTGGAGAAAATTTGTACAGTGTACATGTCTATGTATTTCACTGTTAAAGCACTATGTGAATAAATGACTAAGGAAGGTGGTGAACTTTGAGCTTGGTCATAAAATATGCAACAGTCTTCTATTGGTATTCACATATTGATTGTTTTTGATGGTAATATAATCTTGATGTTTCAGGTGCGTGCATCAGTGATACAGATGTTACCCTCTGCAGAAATCAGTGACTTGCCAGTTGTGGTCAAATTTATACTTCAGTCTGTTGGTGACAATGATGCGTTTGAGGTATGGTATACTAACAGTTGTGCAGTAAATTTACTGGGAAAATTTTGCAGTGTGACTGAAAATTTTGCAGTTTTTGTACTTTTATGCTTTTCTTAAAGGAATCCTCACAGGGAAAAAAGAGGCATTAAAAAAAAATACTGTAAAAAATGTTGCTACCTTTAGTTCTTTCTTAGATTCTAGTTTTGCTTGATTCCTTTTCTTCCTTTTTTTTTCATCTTTTTCCACTTTGGATGATTTATATTGATTGTCCCCACAATGCCTTTGTCTTGTACACATAGGTGATTAGTGAATTACGTGCAAGCCTGGATTTCACATCTACTTCTCTGCAACCTGCGGCCTGCTCCACTCCTGCTGAGCAACGACTATCTTCAAGTGGAGGGTGGGTACAATTTGTATTTTGTCAATGAATACCACATCTGTTAACCGCACTGATAAATGATTTTATTTTTTTACCATGCTCGCTTGTGAGATATTGAGTTTAACACTTAAAGAGAAATAAATTCCATATCTATGTGCTCCTATGTTTTATTTCTACACTATATATAACAATGATATCTGTCAATTAGATCAGCAAGTGATGGGGAGCTTTTTACACTTGAAGCAATTCGATCAGGAATTCGCTTCCAGAGATCAGTTGCAGAGGGTTGGATTAAGGCAAGTGTATTTTACTATTTACCGCTGATGACTAAATTTGATTTATCTTTATGTGGCATGATGAGAAATTTAGTTTTGTAATTTTGTAGCAATTAAATAAGTAATTACACTATTTTCCTCTTGTTTTGAATTGCAGGCCATTGAATCTGTTAACTCTCCTGTGAAACACAAGGTTAGTAATGTAGAAAACCAAGTTGCACTTTACATACAGCTAGGTACTCATTGATGCTTAAACTTAAAAAACAGTAGTGAGGGTAGAAATTGTGGCCCATTACACATGATGTATTTCTAATAACAGGAAAAACTTGTTGAGATGAATGGAAAATCTGTCTCTTTTGCACATTTAAAGCAAGTGTCTACACCAACTTCATAGATAAGTTTGTAGTTCCTACTTTTCTTCACTCAACAAGATTTGCTTGTAAAGGAAGCAAACATCAGAAATAACATTGATAAGAAAGAGGAAGGGGAGGAAGGGAAAAAAAAAGCCCTTCTGGAAATTTAGACATTTGCGGAGTGTTTTTACTCTACTCAGTTTAACCATGATTCCACTACGCTTAATCATTACATCAATCAGCAGTTTTGTATCTTTCAAACACTTCCCTAGCAGTCACTGGTGCAGCTGTGTATTTAAAAGTTTTAGTCACTCTTTCTTTACAGGTTGTGGACTTGTTTGTGTTGCTTATTCTCCACTCCACTGCAAATCGAAAGAAGGCCATGGAAAGCTTGACAAGGAATAAAATAAAGAATGGTCATTTTACGGAAGAAATGTTGAGTGCAGCGTTTAGTTCACACTCACAGGTGAGGATGTGCAATTGTTGTTTGTACCAAGAGTGAGCTAAGCGCAGTTATTTGCACATGTTTTATATAGGGGATCATGCATGTTAGAGTCCTCTTTTTTTTATCTGAGACAAAGAGTACAATCTGAGAGGAGGATTGGTACCTATACCCTCTTAGATAGCTGCTCACCCATAGGGCAACTCACAATGAAAACAGAAGTTTCCCTAAACCCAGGCTTTGTATGAGCACTTTTGTTGCACCCTGATTCAGATATATTACTATTAATAACTCTCTTTTCTGACTGCTTTTTGTTTTTCAGATTCTGAGGGAATATTTCCCTGACTTGTTGTCCTTGGCAGAAATTCTACTGAGGTCTCCTGATCCATCTGTCTGTTCATATGCCTGTTCTATGTACAAGTTATCATTTGTTTCATTTGACCTTTACTGTCAGCAGGTACTGAATTAAATTCTTTTTGCAATTTGCCCACACTCCCACCCAAAAATTGCATGGGTTGTATCTTGAACACTTCCTAAGCCAAGCTGGGATAGCTTGGCTTAGCCTGCTGATCAATCATTTTTCCCATACCCTATTACAACTGAGCATTAATAGAGGAACTTGCAGAGCGTAGCCCCATAATTATGCAAAATAGTAGTAACCCATCAAGCCGAAAAAATTTGGTTGTACGACTGTATGACTGTGCTACTTTTAACATGCGTGGTCAACTGTATTGCGGGTACGCCAACGCCACGGCTTTGTCCAGTTGTCAGTGCACTGGGCTCTGAGTTGGATGACCTGGGTTCTAGTCCTGGCCAGGGCAATGCGTTTTGCCCTTGAGACATGCACGGAAAAAAAAAAAATGTGAGCTCCGCTTTTAGGCTTGGCTAAATCTATATATTATGAATGTTGGTGAATAGAATACTTCTGCTACTGACAGTATAGTTCCCATTCTGTTTCCTCTTGTAGGAAGTGGTAGGGACATTAGTGACCCACATAGGCAGTGGATTTGCAGCAGAAGCAGATGCATCATTAGATGTTCTTTCAGATCTTGTTGAATCCCATGCAGATGTTATGGCCCCATTTGCTATATTTATTAAAGTAAGTGCAATAGGCTTTTAGGACTTTTACTTGTAATCAGTTTTGAGGTGATTGATACAACACTGAACCATTTTTTTTTTTACTTCAATGAACTTGGGAGAGCAGTGAGCTCATTCCTCCAAATCTGTAGAAAATATATGCACAGATGACATACACTTTTTCTTAGCAACATGTTGACTAAATTGAAAAAATTAACAGAAAACTGGAAATTGTTTGCATGAAAACAAGGGTTTGACTTTGGAAAGAAGAAAAGGTTTTATGCCTTCTTTGGTAATTAAATACTGTTGGAACTATGCAACCTGTATTATTGTTAGATTGTTCAGAGTGTGTTCATCGTGATAAGTTCATGTGCATGTGCATATGTTGGTGGCTTTTGTTTCCTTTGGGGTTGTTAGTTTTGCGGTTTCAACTTGTAAGTGCTCCCTGTATGTTTGAGTGATTAAAACCAGTGTTCAACCCTAAAAGATTTTGCTACACTAGTGAATCTTATAACAATATTTACATATGTTTTATTTAAGGGTCTGTTGGATTACTTGGACAATCTCACTGTATTACAGATTAGAAAGCTATTCAGTATGCTAAGTACCCTGGCTTTTGCCAACCAACAAGATGGAGGACTTATTCAGGTACTGACTACACAAGTAATCTTTATCTAAAGAAGAAAGTTATTTGACTATTCGACGTGATACTAAATTCTGCAAACTAATTAACTCTGATCTGTTTTGTACCTTATATTTGACTGATTAGTTTGTGCACATACTTTCTCAGAGTGTAGAATTTTTAATATCTACTGATATTTTTTCAAGGATGACATGCATATTGTGATCAGGAAACAGCTGTCAAGTAATTCTGCCAAGTAAGATAGAATGTCTTAATTTTTGTGATTTGTACACTTTGTTTAAAGAATAACCCAGTAAACTTTGCTGATCCAATAGCCTTTGCAAATTAACCTTCACACCTTTCTCATGGACGAAGAGCAAAAGTTACTGGTGTTCAGTATGACTGAAATGTCACTTCCACCATTGATAACTAACTTGGACAACAGTTACACTCCTTTTCACAAAATTGTTCTTCGTTTTCTTTCAGATACAAGAGAATTGGTATCATTGGAGCTATAATGGTTGTACGCAGCATGGCAAAGAAGAGGTCTCCACTTAGTTTATTACATTTTATCTCTTCGGTTTCATTTATTGTGTTGGATATGGAGGTCACCTTTTCTGCATATGCTATCTTGGAAAGCCAAGGTGGACCCAGGACCCAGTGGAGTCTGACTCTGTCTCAAATTAATTGCAATGAGTGATCATTAAAAGTGGGAGTTTAATTTTTTAATCACAATTATGATTATAAACTTACCATTATGAATCAGATAACACAAAGTCCTGTTACTGTACTAATCGCAACTATACCAAAATTTTGGGATGTGATTGGTTATCACCAGCCTGATTTGAGCACTTATGGGACAGTGTATGCATCAAGCTTGTAATTGGACAGTGTAATAGGACAGTAGTAGTACTACTGTAGTACCTGTAGTACATGTCATGTGTGCTGGCTGTTGTCAGGCATTTTGCAGAGTTAACTGATAATTTTTCATGAAAATGTATTACTGACGTCTCAAATTTTTCTCAAATTTTGTCAAAGATTTGATTTATTGGTAGAATTTTTTGGCTTTGATGATTGGGAAAGTTATGCTTGTCAGTGAAAATCATGTTGAGAGTTGATGAAAAAGTATGCTGTGAATGTGATCTTTTGTCTTTTGTTTATACAACAGATCTGAGGATGAGGGTTCTGAAGAAACAATGAACACTCAGTCACAACCAAGAACCACTCTCTCTAATGAAGTTTACAAACAGGTAAGTTTAACCAGAGAGGTGAAGGATGGGATGGTGTTCACAAGACTTATCTGAGATGGAGAATGATGGTTTGAACACCCGATTACAATTCATTTCCAGAGTCCTGTGACTCTGTTGATAACCTCTTCTTGTGTGGTTGTAATTCAGTCACTTCCTCTCAGGGGTTTTGGTAACTTTTTTTATAAGTGGTAGCTGATAATAGGACAAAACCCAAACACTGAAGCCTGCTTTCAGCCTTGATTTTCTTAAAGACTGGTTCCTCTTACAAACTGACCCATGCTTCATGTGACTTGTTGCCAATTCAGCTTTAAATAGGACAACAACTTCTTCTGAGTGTTGCCAAACTTTTGCTGTCATAATTTCTCTGCAGATTTGTAGCATGTTAGAAATGATACGTAACAGCACCAATCAGAATCCAGAAGCAGCAGCATTGTTTTATGATGAGCTGGCAAGAATTATTCAAGTTGGAGGCATTGATCCAAAAATTGAGGTGTTGTTACTTGTCAGGGATTGTTAAAAGAGTGAACAAGAATTTTGTATAATGCTACAGTATATTAAGCAATAACAAGTGAAAAAGAATTATTGCAGCTAATAGTAATTTGTTCAAAAATAAAATGGACTATTTCCTTCATGCCCAAAGTCTCTGTTTTAAAAATTAATCTAAGGGATACACCTTTTATATTCAAACATTAGCATAAGTATTGCAAATAAACTCATTTTCAAAACAAAGTTTTTCCTCTTTTTCTGATACAAGATATTAGGGTTTTTGGAACTCAACTTTGTTCAAGTTATTTAAAAGTGTAGTTATTTCATTGCAGGCCTGGATAAGTGAAACAGTTGTGGCTGATTTTCAAGATGACTTCCTTGTGGATAGAGAACCACCCACAGAAAGGTAACACACCATTTGTTTCTGCATCAATCTATGGAAAATACTAAAAAAATAAATAAATAAAGAGAATTTGGTTTATTATCAGTTGATAATGTTAATTGGCCATGGTAGATATGCATTATTAACCAAAGGTGAGGTCAAGATGCCTGAATATTGGCCAAATTCTTTTTTGTGACTTTTTATGGACTGAGACGAAGTTGAGGTTTTTAAAAAACACACAAAAAAGAATGAGACTGATATCCAGCAATCATGACTAAACAAGCTTGGTCAATAAAAGATAAATTTTATAGCAAAAAGATTTCTCTTTATCAAGAATCAAGAATGACTTGTTAAATTGGAGAACCACGAAAGAAGGCAATTGTGTTTGTAACACTATAAAACCAGGAGAGTTGTTTATGTTTTTGTTTTGATTGTCTTCTGTCTGCTCGGTGCAACATTTTTCATGCACAGGAACAAAGTGGGCAATCTCAAGCAAGCAAAATGAGGTAGCCAATCAGAACACAGGATTTGCTTCATATTTCCCATGAGCACTGCCAGTGATGTATTAAAAAGGTTTTCTAAAGCTCACATTTTTAGTGTTTGCATTGCATCAGAGCATCCTTTTGATGAAGGGGTGGCACTCAAAACATTTTTTAAACTATTCACAGGGGTCATGTATTTGTCAACTCAGTTGATAAACCTTATTATCTTGTAATCCTCCTTCACACCCCCCCCCCATGGTGCACCACCTCAGCTTCTTTAGAAACTGACCCCCCCCCTCCCCTTTAGATAAATGAAGCTATAACTATTAACATAGATTTTTTTTTCATGTGTGTTTTTATAGTCTTGGTGTTCCCATGGAATTATCATATGCCTTGGATGAGGCAGAGGAAGGCAGCATTGCTGTCAATATGCTGCCATTACTTTTAGCTTCCAGAAATGGTGCAAAAAGCAAGGACAAAATTGACAGGTGAGGGAAAGAAAGAAAGAAAGTATACGATTACAATTGAAAGGATTGGTTAGGTCATTAAGTTTTTGGTAAGGTGCTTTCCCCAATTTGATTAGCCCCTATCTTGGGGCAGCCATTTCTTCAGGACTACTTGTAAAACATCACAGAGAAGGTGAGAGAAAAGAAACTTACATGTATGCTAAAATCTAGAGAAAGATGTTTTTGTCTGTCACAAGTGTGGGACATAGAAAAAATTTTGAGTCCCTATGAGGAATCAAACCTCATACCTTCGGATTCTGTGCTCTGATGCTCTACCACTGAACCACAGAGACACTACAGTGAGTGAGGTCTATTACGAAGTTCATATGACACATGTCCTGCAAACTGCTGGAATCAGCAATGTCCATAGCATCATGTTTGTAAATGGAATAACAGAGATGGTAAGTTTTGAGCTCGGGAAAGAAATAAAGATGTTTTTCATCTATTATGAGCATTGGATAAAGAAAAATTCTGAGTCCCCAAATTATTTTTTCTTTGTTCCACACTCGTGACAAACAATAAACATCTTTCCCCATTTCTTTAAACTGAGCTCAAAACTTACCATCTCTCAGATTCTATTTATGCTAAAATTTGTTATTAACTTTGTTAACTGAGGTACCAAGACCTTCAACTAATATCAACTTGGATGTTTGCACTTTTGATGTTGAGGTTGAACATTTTCTCTTTTAAATAGTGGACCAGCCTCACTCATATGCCTTGCACCTCATTTCCGCCTTCTGCGGGTCTGTGAAGAAAGTCAACACAAGGGGGATCTTGAAGGAATTGATGCTCTCTTAGGTAAACTACAATACATGTGATTTTGGAATGCAACACATCATGCAATTCAGAACCAAATGCATTTTTTTCATTTGATCTTCACAGCTATGGCAGAATCTTAAAACAATCCTTAATAATTCGTTATTTCTTTAATTTGGCTTAAGACTTGGGGAAAAATCCTTGGAAACTTGTTCCAAGAATCTCATTTGAAATGGTTTTTCTGGTAGAGTTCAAAGATCTGATGCAATTACATTCTTAAAATAAAAATTCAGTCAAAACCAATGTCAGCCAAAGTTGTTATGACTGACAGTAGTTTAAATGTGTAGCTGCATTCTTTAATCAGGGGATGGCTAAAATTGAATTGGCAAATGTTTTAGAATATGTTTGCTTGATCTCTTTTTTATTTTTAGGGTGTCCACTTGTTAGTTTTAAAGAAGAGATGATCAAAGAAATAACCTCTTTGGACCAAGCAGATCGAGAAGTCATTTGTGGAACTTTGTTCCACACTGTGAACTGGTTCAGAGAGGTATGCATGTTTTTGATAAAAGAATGACCCTTTTACTACAGAAAACGTGTTTAACCCTCCAACTCCCCAAAGTGATTAACATGTAACTTCTCTCTAAAATATCCATACATTATCCACCAAACATGTAATGAGAATACTCAAACTTATCAGACAGGTACAGGTTGCTATCTTGATGTAACTCCAAATTCTCCCAACCAATTTGAAAGGAAATGTCAAACAGCTAGAAAGGAGAAGTAACAATCAGATCTTGGGAGTTGAGTTAAGCCTTTACCTCCCAGAGTGACTAGCATCAAATTTCTCCTTACAATATCACACATGAATCACACATTAAAGTCATGAGAATAATAGAAATGACCACCAGCTAAAGAAATTCTTGATTGTTGAACAAATTCTCCTTGTCAGCTCCTTGCAACATTTATAGAGAGCAGTATGGAGAATATGTATACTGATTTTATGGTGTAAAGGGTTAATACTGTTGTGTTGCTGCATTTGTCAGCTGGCTATCAAATAAAGACTGACCAGTAGTACCTTGTATAGCTATGTAGTCCTTTACCACATAACATCATTATCCAAATTCTCAACATTCTTCTTTATACATTGCCTTTGGTACTGACAAGGAGAATTTGTTTAACAATCAAAGCTTCAAAGGTGGGTAGTTATTTCCTAAATTCTCATGAATTTAATGAATGATACAGTAGTAGAACTGTAAGGAGAAATTACGTGCTGGTCATTTTTAAGGTTTTTTTTAAGGGTCAGTTCAAGGAGAAGTGTATGCCAGAAACCCTATTGTATTATTATTATCTTCACTGTTAAACAATTACTGTTTTTACTCAAATAAGTGCTCTTCCTGGTGGGGTGCTTAATGTATGATTTTTGCACCTCAATATTGCTCCACTTAGTATGATATCCTAATTAATGGCTGAGAACTTATTTGCTTCACCAGTAAGGTTAAAATAGTAATTTTCACAATCTTTCCCAAGGAAACTTGCTGCTTAACTTGAATAACAAAGGTTCTTTCTTCCTTTCATATCTTGTTGATGTGATTGACCAATTAGAGTCTTTTTTGAGTAGAGTACTGTATTAGCTGCATTTTTTAGAGCATCAGTTGTAGTCTTGTGTCATTGTAACAGCCATTTGATTGGTAATGAATAATCACTGAAACCTTTCACATTGTAGGTTGTGAATGCATTTGCATCCCAAGAAAGCCCTGAATTGAGAGGGAAAAGCATTGCAAGGATTCAAGGCATAACAGCATTGTGTGCTGTTTTAGAAAAGTGTCTTGCAGGTTTGATTGAAATTTCTCTTGTTATTTGTTATGCTCAAAGGTTGAATAAGTTATTGATTTTATATCTGTTGAATTAATTTTTCAGCTACACCTTCCTTCAAGCCTCCACTGGCTACGTTTGACTTTGAAGACTCATTGGTGACAAGTCCTCATTCAAATGGGAACAAGTTCAAGGCTAAGAAAGGGAAGAAGACTAGTAAAAGGTAAGCAATACCACCCTACTTTACTTTTTGTTTTGCATCCAGACATTGCAGCCTTTTTAAAAGAATCAGGAAAATTCAGCATTAAAGTTTGGCTGGAATTCAGTTTAGTTCAGTAGCTAGGTTGTACATGTATAATGTCATTGCCTTTCTTGAATTCCATAATTTTTCTTTAGGTCCTTAATGCTAACAAAAATAAAACTTTCCTCTGCTGCTAGGCTAGACATCCACACTAATTCCCCACAGAAAATTTAGTTTTTCTTTTTAAATGCACATGAACTCACAGTTATTTCTCTGTCAGCAACTATGATAAAGAGTGAATGAATTGTTATTATAATGATTGTTATTTATACTTTCCAAGGGATTGACAGGATCAAAACATAAATGACATGCATGGCTAACTAGCACGTTTATTTGTTTTTCTCTTGTTTCCAGATCAAGCACTGAAAAACCAGATGATTCTATAGAAAAGGTAAAGAATTCCATATGGAATTAATGGTAACAGCAATGCCCATGTATGCATTTCTTAACCCTTTAAATCCCATAAGTGACCAAGACAGAATTTCTCCTTACAATATTAATACAATATCAACCAGATAAGCGATGAGAATGAAGAAAAATATCAATTTGGGGGTAATTGGTCAATCCAAAACTAAATTCTCTGAACTAACATTATAAGAATTGTATGGTTTACAGTAAGGAGAATTACAAATTTGATCTGGGAGTTAAAAGGGTTAAAGAAATTTTGAATTGAGTGTTGATTGTAATCTGAGATTGCTTTGGTTTTGCTTTACTTCACTCTGTGATTGGTCCATTCTGTTAACCAATCAGATGCAAAACTAAAACCAATCACAACTTGATCACCAGAATTTTTCCCATACTTTAGTTAATTTAGATTCTCATTGGCTTGTTTAAGTATTTTGCTTTCTTGTGACTGGACATTGTGAGCATGTTGGTTTTGGTGTTTTGACACTCACTTGAAAAGCGCCCTTGTAAGCATTTTTATTGATTCCAAAGTAAAGGAAGTCTGTGGAAAATCTTCCAAAATACTCTGTCTTTCTGTGTTTATGTTCAACATACAACTGCTATAGGTCTTTTAGAGTTTTACATGATATTATGTTGGTTGACTTTGGTTGCAGATAAAAGATCTTGAAAAAGAAAATGTCGATGACAAAGAAAGTGAAACACAAAAAGAAAGCTCCAAAGATACAAAAGAAAAGGACAAGGACAAGGAAAAGCCAGCGACCATATCTATGTCACAGTATCAAGCATTTCTCAGGTAAAATCTGGTATTCTATACTTTAATCTATTGGCTGAATGCAGACTAAAGGCTTTAATTTTACCAACAGATCTCAGCATGATAAAGAACCAACCCATTTTTTGTGTTTTCATTTCTTAGTTCAATGAATGACTGAAACATTTTTTGGTTACAGTGCATGGGCATATGAAAAGTGGCTATGTAAAACTGTGGCACAGTGTAATAAAACTATGCACAATTTGCAAGACGTAGCTTAGTAACTAAATAATTATACTTTTCATTACCAGTAGATTTTGTCCCTGGTTCTCATCTCTCCTTTAATTTTTTAAATTATTTTTCATAGAGAGTTAGATCTCAAGACATTTAGTATTTTGAAATGTGGACTGGTCTCCCGTGCAGTTTTGGATTCTGAAATGAATACAGAGGTTTGTAGATAGCTGTAAATTAGAAGTCATAAGAAATTAAAAAATGCACTTTGGAGTCATGTTTGAAAAATGATCTTTATTGATTGATAACAGAGTTCTAGTTGGTCAAGGAAATCCAGAAAAACATGGAATTTAGCAAAAGTATTTTCCAGACCCAGAAAACCATGCAGTTCAATTGTACTTCATGGAAAGTCACGGAAATCTCTTTAATTGATTTTTTTCTGTGAGCAACAAAGCAAGAAATACTATGATGTAATGATTTATTTTTGGTCACATGGTTTTGAAATGAACAGCTTGATAATGAATGATGGAAAATATCAAAAACTCTTGAAAAGGGCATGCTAAGTTGTGGAATTTTTTGAGTTTGTAAAGTAAAAACCTTAAACAAGTTTTCTTCCCTTGCACAAGGCCAAAATGATAGACAAACAAAGAGTTAGTCTTTTGTCTATTGGCACAGAATCAACTATTGATTAGGTATTTTGTCACAATATTTTGAGGCACTTTCAATTGGTAAATGTTCTTTTAAATCTGTATAATTCACCTGAGTCAAAAACATGTTTGTGCACAGGAGACTACTATAGTGCAACTTCAGGCTCCCCAGCTGGAATTTCTGTTGGAGGACCTTTCAAGAAAACTTCAGTATTCACTTTCAGCTTCTGCTTCTTCAAGGAGGAGCTTTCTCAAGGTAAGAGATAAAAGAGTCTGCTTAGTGGTAATCATTCCTCTAATTGCTTGGTTCCAGTACCTCCAAGTCCCAAATAGAATAGTGTCTCTAATTCACCAAGAAAAACATTGGGAAGACTAGTACTTCGGGTACATTGGCAAATCTGGGACAGTTGTGAAATAGTGAAATAGCTGGTTGTCTGGGATTTGTGCAACATATGAAAACCAGCCTTGAAAGAGAGCCTGCCTTGACCATAATAAAAAAAGTTAACCCTCACTGTTACTCTCAATGTAAATGCATGATAACCAGGCCTTAAGTCTTTGTAAATATGGTAAACTGTGCTCTTTAAAAACCTGTGTGGGATTCTTATTAAGAGAAGAACTGTAAGCATTAACTTAATTGAGATCTGCCTTAAGCCATTCCTTAATCTGTGGTGAATGACATCTTGTTATATCTTAAAGGTTCGTCAGGATAAACTGGTGGGTTTCTCTAACTTGTCCAGATATCCTGCAAAAGAAGTGTCCAAATATGTTGTAGAGCTGCTGCCAGTCTTATGCGAGCATTTAGAAGCCACCAGTGGCTTCTTTCAGGTAATTGTTTTGACATTCTGACTAGCTGTCTTTGGCATGCCGGGATGGATGTGGAACAAAGAAAACATTTATGTTCCCCACAAGGAATTGAACCTTGTAACTTCTCATCTTCAGGAAAAAAAATTGAAATCTAGAAGCTTGGAAATGTAATTTCCTGCATTCTGTTGTTTAGAAAAGTTTTTTTGATACCTCTGTCTAAATTTGCCTGTCACTCCTAGAAACAAAATGTCTAGTGCATGGTCCAAATGTTCATTAGATCCCTATTTTGTTGTTTAATTTTTTTCATTACTTTCAACTTACAGGCTTTAGTTGCCCAAAATGATGGCCTGATGGATGGTCCAGGTCACAACACTGCTGAGGCACAAGTGATGGCTTCATGTTATCACTTGCTTTTCAACTGTCTGCAGTCACTATTTGCATGGTTGGTATCACCAAAAATTAAGATTGTCTAGCTTACTGAAGAAAACTTAAATGTTATCATAAATGGATTATGCGTCTGCAAATGTTGGGAATTTGTTGACATGTCTATAAAGTCTATTTATTTAATACTAATGCAATGTCTGCCTGGGAATAAACAAGTCCTAGGGCTTTAATATCATTGTGAACAGCTGTAGAACTAGAGTAACAACTAAAAAAATAATTTCAAAAGTTTTTTTTTTTAACATACTTCTCAGGAGTGGTTTTGTGACAAGTGAACAACAAAACCTTTTCAAAAAAGCTCTTTTTGTGCTGTCCTCAAGAACTACACTCTCCAGCAAGACACAGCCAGGATTTCATGCACTTCTTGAGTAAGCTCCTTTGTAAATACATGTTTTGGTTTTCAGTTGAAAAGTTTGTTGGTTCTTGTTTCTGTTTGCGTCATATTACTTCATTTGTGCTTGCAGACAAAGCTTCCACTATCTTGAGCAGTTCCAAAGCAGTATTCCAAACATTGCAACAGCTGTTAGCCTTACCAAGCTGTTAGTAGTTTTGTGTGAGAAGGGAAGAGATGGTGACAATGGCATGAGCATTTCTCTAGGTAATGAAACTTTTATTTTGAGACATTTGAATGGCAGAGAAGTGTACATTGTATACAAATTCAATTTTTTGGAGGTTTTTAGTAAACTTATTTTCATTTGTTAAACAATCGAGCGCTTTTTAAGGTGGTGATCATTCTCTTCTTGTGACCTTAATGTTTAATTCAGTGGTGATATTGTAAGGAGAAATTAGATGCTGGTCACTCTTAGAGGTCAAAAGGTTAACCCTCTCACTCTCAAGATCAGTAATTCTCCTTACTGTCTGTAATAAAATTCTTATGATATTAGTGTGGAGAATTTGGTATTGGATCAACTGGTTATCCCCTTATTGAAACATTATTCCCATCACTTATCTGCTTGATATTATATTGATATTGTAAGGAGAAATTCTGTTTTGGTCACTGATTGGAAATTAAAGTTAAAGTTGAAGGGTTAAAACATGACATGTTTATTTCTTAGAGATGGATGCAGTTCATTTTTCTCTTTCTCAAAGACTTAGTACCTCTTTTTGATTGGCTACTTGATAACAAT